CTTGAAGTTCAAATTGAAAATCTTGGTGCACATTTAAATGCTTATACATCACGAGAACAAACTGCTTATTATGCTAAATGTTTTAGTAAAGATTTACCACAAAGTAAATTTTTATTTTGTTTTTTTTTTCTATTATTTAATATTAAATATGAATAGTTGTGGAAATTTTATCGGATATAATTCAAAATAGTCAATTTAATGACGAAGAAATTGAACGTGAACGTCATACAATTTTACGTGAAATGGAAGAAATTGAAAATAATCATCACGAAGTCATTTTCGATCATTTACATGCAACTGCTTATCAAGGAACACCATTAGCTAGAAGTGTTCTTGGTTCTACGGACAATATTAAGTAAATTTATTTAACAAATCTTTTATTTATTTTTACTTTTTATCTTTGAGATCTATTAATAAATCAGATTTACTTAAATATCTTGGAACACATTATAAAGCACCACGAATGGTTTTAGCTGCTGCTGGTGGTGTTAATCATGATCAATTAGTTCGCTTAAGTGAAGAACATTTTGGAAAATTAAAAGCTGGTTATCAAGGAGAAGTACCTGATCTTTTACCATGCCGGTTAAATTATTTCATTCATTTTTCTATCATCAAGTTTATTTATTTATTTATTAGTTTTTCGGGTAGTGAAATTCGTATTCGTGATGATGAAATGTCATTAGCTCATATTGCCGTTGCTGCTGAAAGTCCAGGTTGGGCTCATGCTGATACTATTCCATTGATGGTTGCATCGACTATTGTTGGCAATTGGGATAGGTAATTGTTATTCATTTCAATATCGTCAATCTTTATATCTCGATCCTTTTGTTGAAAACCGCTCGAATTTTGGACATATAGAAGGGACCTCCAGACTAGAATAACTCTAAAAGAGTTCGGACCCATATGCTTTCTTTACATAGTTATAACAATTTTACTTGAATTTTAGCCTATGGCATGGTATGTACAAACAAATTGACTGATGATGTTTTGTCGATAGATAGATCTACTTGTAACTAGAATGTCCTGAAAACTTCAGCTGAAAAGAATGTTTTCTTCGCGAGATATTAAATTCTCAAGAATGACTCAGATCTCATAGAAGATGCGAGAATCTCATGTTTTATCGACATTCAATATCTCGCGAAGAGAACATTCTAGTTACAAGTAGACCTATCTATGGACACAATATTGTTAGTCAATTTGTTTCTACACATCGTGCCATAGGCTAAAATTCAAGTAAAATTGCTAGAACTCTGTAGAGGAGGCCTATGGGTTCGAACCTTTTTAGGATTATTCTAATCTAGAGGTCCTCTCTATATGCCCAAAATGTTCGAAATATTTCTCAGCAAATAAATGCAAATCAACACTTAAATATACAGTGTGATAGAGAATTCCGAATGCTATCAGAATATATATCGAGAATATTTGACCGATATTCAATGTTATCACTCGGATTACAGACTTATAGGTACAACTATTATTCAGATATCAATCCTAATATTATTCTGATCAAATTTTGAAATCGATAGTAATTATTCGTTTTTTTTGTTAAATTTTAGAAGTACAACTCTGAAAATAGTTTATCGGGACAAAATCTAATAGAGAATCTGTCGATAAAACGATAAAATAAATAATAAATTAGTTGAATAAATTATTGAATCATACTGATAGTTTTCGTACTTGGTCATTCTAAAAACGATTTATGGCAAGTGAACTAAGGTTTAAAAGTTTTCATGTTAGATATTGGTAAATTTTCTTATAAAATAGTATTAGTTGTCTTAAATCATGATAGAATCATTGAGGATAAAAATAAGAGTGATAGATTAAATTGACGATTTTACTGTATATAAGGAAAAATAAAACAAAG